AAACCAACCCCTTTATTATCCTCTAGCAGATGGATGTTTATATCCATGGGCTGCTGTGTCATTCCTACACATCATCCCCACTGCTGCCAGCCTCTCTAAGGTTGCAGGCCCACTAATCTTCAGACTCTACTCTAAGTAGAGTCTCACGCACACACACAGAGCTCTGCATGTACACTTTACTCACCCTGAGGTTCAAGTGCAGGTGGAACTGGCTGTTCAGTGCTGGCTGCAACACCAGTTAGGGAGGTCACTCCCTTCTCTGCCATGTCACAGAGAGACTTCACATAGGGATGGCTCTCCTTGGTGGAGGTGTAGGCTGTGGCAGCCAGGTCACAGGCAGTGCTGACCACAGGGAGACTGGCCACCCTCTTCAGGACACTCTAGTGAAGCAAGGGAGAGAAAAATGAAGTCAGGGAAGCAGTGGCCTGTCCTGGAGCTGAACCATTGCTTGTCAAGTGGTTATACTCTTGAATGGGTTAGCCCCCAATCAAAAGATTGGGTGAAAGGTTTCCTAGCTTGTCAGTCTAACAGCTGCAGCAGACAGTGATGAAACTGGACCAGAAGCTTAACTGAAGAAAAAGACACCACAAACATTTAGGGGCAGCATCTGCTATTAGACAATAACCAGCCATCATTCATATTTACATATTGAGCCAGCAAGGCTTGTAAAGTATCTACCGGTTGTTCTTCCTCTCCATGGTCTGGGGAGGCCATACTGGGATCTTTTCCATTAGTAGCCATGGTAGAGCCAGATATTCCTGGGGGAAAAAAAAGGTTCAGTTACAAATGGTAACTGTTCATAAGAAACTGATAGCAGGAATAGTGTGCTGCTCCAAGGAGTGATAAGAAATGGAAGCACCACCCACATATTAACAAGGTCCCTATATTTAGAGGAATACTTGCTCTTTAGTAAGCAAAGTAAGCAAAGTACATGTTCACCACTTCACAGAAGTAAATGTCTCAGTTCTACCATCAATAAGGAGAAAGGAAGCAGGAAAACTCAGTCTCATGCCACAGGACTACTGAAAGACATTTATTTTTCTAGGCCCTTTGAAGGCAGGAAGAAGTGTCATTACAGCTAAATGAGTAGATAGCTCTTAGTTGCAAGGTAAAGAATCAGACCCTTAAAAGTCTATTTCTCACTAGAGAAGGGGCTTAAGGTCAGCAAGCATTAAGCTCTCCAGACTCAGCTTTCCAACCCAGATCCTACAGACAACTTCTAAACACTAGAAGTACAGCACACAGTCAACCACTCCTCAGCAGCATAGAAAACCTAACCAAGGATCTATAAAAACAAATGATGACATTATTTAAAAAAACACCAAAAATATTACCAATAAATCCCACTGACCTTTCTCAGTACTCCAGGCACAACCTTACTTCTCTTAGCATCTGGCAAGATTTTATACACACCTGATGATGTCACTGTATGGGAGGGGGGTAAAATACTCGGGACTGACAGTTCAGGGAGCCAGTGACAAAAAGGCTTCCACTTCTCTGACCAATAAGAGAATGCAAATCCCTTGGGGACTGCAAAGTTTGGGCGTGAGTGCTTCATCATAGGTGATTCCAATTAACCCCTTTGGGTTGTTAGCTGACACCCAGCTGAACTTACTTTGATTCCACAGCCTGCCTTGAAACAGTTGCTAGTTAGGATGGATAATATGTTCAAAAGCATCTGCGTGACTTAAAAAGCCATTGACTTTCATTGCCATTTCCAGTGGGAAAAGAGAGAGAAAATGGGGAAATATTGAAGCAGAACTTCTAATTTTGTTTAGAAAAATCTATTTTAAAAAAAATCTGAACTCAAAAGCCAACCAAATATAAATCATCTCTGGGAGTGAGGTTGCAGAGAGTATTGTGTCTGATTCCTCTGCATGTTGACCATAATTTCAAAGTAAAAACTGGCACACTCTAGCACAGAGTGACACTCTAAAGATTGGGAGTTTTCTCCAGTGTTTAGGGCATTAGGCTAGGATTTGAGGTGGGTTCAAGTCTATGCTCTATCAGAGACTTCCTGGGTGAACTTGGGCAAGTCACTTAGCCTCTCAGTTCCCCTCTGTACAGTGAGAATAACAGGAATTTCATGCTTCATAGAAGCTGTATGAGGTGCTCATATAAATACCTTAGATCAGGGATGGCCAGCCCATTGGGGTGCTATGTGTGGCCGACATTTTGTTTACCTTGCCCATACACAGTTTTCAGATTCTGCTGGTATCTGTCTTTGTACGTATTTTTTTCCTATTGGTATTATAAAAATGACACTCACTTAAAGCAAGGGCATGTGAATTGAGGTGCATGCTCACTGCACACAACATTCTGAGAGCCCTGTGTTCCCACTGCATCCAATCAAAGTGCTGCCATGGTTCAATCGGCACACTCCACTAAATTCTGTGTGTGCAAGCGCAGTTAGCAAAACTACTCTATCCCAGGAGATCCTCTTGGTTATGACAATCTTGTGGCCTGCTGAGATAGAGGACCACTCATGCAGCCCACTCACTAGCCTAGGTTTCCCCTCACGGCCTTAGTGAAGCATTTTGTTGAGGAGCGTGAGTTGGGTAGGTAACTGGAACAGCTTTCCCTTCTGCTCTTTCAGGCTCCCCCCTTTCAGAAAAATAGTGGGGCATGTTCCATTAAAGGGAAGAAAAGAGTGTTTATTCCTGTCACCCCTTCATTGTTCTCCCTCCAGCTTGAATTGCCACCCAGCCTCCTGCAGAGGACAAAGCAGCACCCAGACCAAAAGAGGGAACTGTTTACCTGGCCCTTGCTGTTCCTGATGTTTTCCCGCCCACCCATCCTCCCTTGACTTCAGCAGGGCAATGGCTAGCTGGGCTCTGTGGGATTGGTGGCATCTGGCCTTTTAGCCCCTAGGGTCAGAGTGTGACCAGAGGAATGTGAATAGTTCCCTGATGCCATCCACTTGCACAATGAAAATAAAACTGAGATGCCTCTCCCAGTAGATGATGCAGATCTGCAATCCTCCCTCTCCTTTCCCCCTTACTTTGATCAGCAGTGAAACAGTTAAAAACCTGGACATGTCTCTCACCATCACTTGGCATGGGAGTTATTCCATATATAAGTGCTGAACCCCACCCTCCCTACCAAAGCCTGCACCCTTTTCCCCATGCCTCCTCCTGCCCCAAAACTCTCTCCCCACCACTCCTTCCTCCACATTCCCTCCAGCCCCCAAATTCCTTCTCAGAGCCTGCACCCCCCACATCTTCTTGCACACCCATTATCTGTCCCAGCTCAGAGCCTTATCCCATAACCAAAGTCCCTCCAATAGCCCGACCCCTCAAGCCTCCTGCAGCAAACTCCCTCCCAGACCTCACCCCTCACGCCTTCTTCACCCCAGTCACCTAACCCAGCCCAGAACCTACATCCAGCACCCAAACTAGGGATGTGAGCATGTAGCCAATAATCCTGGGTTCATTGGTTAATCCTGGTGGTTTCAGAGGGAGAAAGGTGTGGGGAGGCAGAAGCTGGTGCCTGTGTGGAGCTGCCTGCACTTGCTCCCCCTGCCTCCCACAGAGGCAGCAGTGTGGGGAGGGGCAGGCAGGAGCTGGTGCTTTATGAGGGAGCCAGCTTTCCCACAGAGCCACCTGCACCTCCTCCATGCTGCTGCCTCTGTATCAGCAGCAGCAATAGGGCGGGGGAGGTGGGACCCGGGAATGTTCCTCATGAGCACCAGATCCTGTCTGCCTCCCTTCATGTAAATGTTTAATCACTTAAAACAAATCCAGCACTTACACATTTATACAAATACACGTTTGTTAATATCCCGAACTCAAACTCCATCCCAGAGCATTTGGCAAGTGGGGAGGGAGGGAGTTTGGGTGAGGGAAGGGTGCAGGTTCTGGACATTTCTGTAATGTTGCTTCCTCCTCCCATCTGGAAGTATTTTACTGTTCATTTTAAGGAGCTGCAGTTTTCAAATGTTCTTTCTGGCTGCATTTCCTCTCCATTTATAGCTTACATATCTTCAATTCAGTTAAACAGCAAGGAAATGTTAAATATTTGTTAAAAGGATAGTATTGCATGAGGATACAATTGCCCATTGAACTCTCTCTCACTCACTGGCTGTGTCTAGACTGGCAAGTTTTTCTGCAAAAGCAACTGCTTTTGCGGAAAAACTTGCCAGCTGTCTACACTAGCCGCTTGAATTTCCGCAAGAACACTGACGATCTCATGTAAGATTGTCAGTGTTCTTGCGGAAATGCTATGCTGCTCCCGTTCGGGCAAAAGCCCTCTTGCGCAAATGCTTTTGTGCAAGAGGGCCAGTGTAGACAATGCGGTATGGTTTTGCGCAAAAAAGCCCCGATGGCGAAAATGGCGATCGGGGTTTTCTTGCACAAAACCGCGTCTAGATTGGCACGGACGCTTTTCCGCAAAAAGTGCTTTTGCAGAAAAGTGTCCGTGCCAATCTAGATGCTCTTTTCCGCAAATGCTTTTAACGGAAAAACTTTTCCATTAAAAGCATATGCAGAAAATCATGCCAGTCTAGATGTAGCCACTGGATATTTAGTACAGCCTCGCAGCACAAACCACTTCATAGCATGTCTGGTGACTTTTTTTTGAGGAGGTGTAAGTTTCTGGTGAAGGTAGCTGGGACAGCAAAAGAGTCATGGATGAACCAGGAGCAGCTGAGTTTCTTTAGTTTAATTTTGATACCCTAACAGGCGCGGAATACATCTGGTGTTCCACCTTGTGGTCTTTTTATGTTAGTGCTTTCATCTTCCCTTATGTACCTATACCCGCAATGAGCATCTAGACTGAGATTCTGAGATACTGTCCCTTCCCTACCACCTTTCCCATTTGACGCTGTCCGGAAACACTAACATATCCATGTGTGGACTAAGGCTGAGCAAAGACATTTTTCATGAATAAAAAAAAAAAAAATCCTTAAAACAATCAGTTCAAATAAAAACATTTTCTTCAGTATTTCCTCAGCAAATATGGGGAAAAAAGGTGTTTCAAGCCAAACAAAACATTTCATTTAGCACTAAGGCCATGTCTACCGTTCAGAGAAGATCGAAGAAACCACAGGCAATCTTCCAGGGTTCAAATTAGCAGGTTTAGTGAAGACATGCTAATTTAATGGGTGTGGTGCTCCCATCGATGCCGGTAGTCCTGCTTCTACGAGGAATAAAGGAAGTTGAATTTAACATAGCTGAAGTTGCATATCTTAATTTGAATTTATCCCCTAGTGTAGACCAAGGTTAAGTGATTTTTTTTCTCCAGTTTTTCATTTCATGTAAGTTTTGGGTGCTTTTTACACTTCCCTTTTAAAAATCTAGCTAAATTTTACAAAGACACTTCATTTCAAAACGCAAAAAACATCCTACAGTTTCATTTCCAAATGGTGAAAGAAACTATTTGAAATGAAATGAAATCTTGAAACATTTTCTTTTGAAATGATTGGAACCAACTGCTGAGACATTTTCCATTTCTTGCTCCCATTTTTACTGGAATTTACAAATAGTTTCTATGTCCTGAACAATGCACTTTAGGGTGCATTTTGATCAATTAAAAAAAATCATCCAGTTCTAGTAAGGATTTTTTATCCTGTGTCAAACTAAGCCTCTGTTACCTATGCTAAAGAATCAAGGTTCCTTAGCTGTGGCAAACACACACCTCTTTAGGTGGAACGGCTTCTGGAGATCAACATTACAGAATGGGTTGCAGGACCATTCTGATGTGGCAGCATTTCACTCCCACTGTGCATAGAGGAAGATAACTACACAAGGTGCAAGGCAGTGGAGGAGCTGGCCTGTATTATACAAGTGTCTCAATGTAGAGTGAAAATCTATGTATTCTTCTCTCTGGTCTGTTCGCCTACTGTGGGGAGGGAATACCGCCCCACAGAGCCTGATATTCTCTGCTCAAGCATTCTTCCTTATTGTCCTGCATGGCTCTGTAGGGCAGGTAAGTCATAATTTTGGTCTTCATGATCTGTCTGCCCACAAGTGGAGAGAAACTGAAACTAAAATAATTTACCGGATTTACAATGACAGGTTCTGTTTGCTATAGGCTTAACCTCCATATTTAAAACTGATTCTGTTTTACCATGCATGTAACCCAACAAAAATCGTACTCATGGTCAGACTTTTTGTAGTTCGCTTTCTGCTCCCACAGCCCATATTTAAATGATTCCATGAATTTCAGGAGGCAGGTTTCAGGAACAACAGGACTTTAAAAAAATGATTTGTTTGCTTCCAGATTATTCAGAGACTGCTCTAATCTAATAGCCAAGTTCACAAAGACCAAAGCTTTTGTTTGACAAAGGTGACAATGCTTGACAGTTCTACTAATGAATTAGCTCCACCAGTAAGTCCAGTCCTGTAGCAGCTTCCAAACTTCTCTCTCACCCCTATTTTGCTGTTTCTGTGGGGTTTATGTTCTTTTTAAAGCATTACAGGGTCCCACATACCAATAGAGAGCTGTACGGTACACCACATATTCCAGCAGACCTTTCATGCATTCCCTCTCAATCTCTTTCTCCCATGTTTGGGAGAAGATTTGTATAGACAGGTCTTGAAAAGGAATCAAGAGCGGAGAATGTTGAATGGAGGATTCCTGTTGTGTGGTAAGCTTCGTGCATCTTGTCCTGAAAGTTGACCGGAAAGTATTCTATGCTAATCAGTAGGATGGAGGTACATGTTCTTCAGGGTCTGGGTAACTGTATGAATCAGGGCAATGATGCAATATTTCAGGACCTGCAAGGAGGAAATTAATACTGTGAAGGTGCAATTTTTTAAAATGTCTCTTAAAATGGGAGACAGCCACAACTACACTATTGTTTGATTCTAAAACTGCTTCCCAGTAGAGCTGTTGTTCCCACCCTCTGGGGTGTTTCCGATGCCAATCCAGCCCTGTTTGGCAGCGGCAGTGGAACTATTTTTGGGATGGAGGCATAGAACTACAACCCCCTTTAATTCTATTGATATCAGGTTGCCAATTCTCCTGAACCAGGAACACCAGATTCCATTGCTGCAAATGGCATCCGGTCCATTGAGTCCGGGAGAGTTGGCAACCTTCACCAGCCCAGGCTGAGACCACAGCTGGGGACAGCTGGGGAAAATAGGGCTGGTGGTGGGACCAAGGGGCTATGAAGCCTGTGGCAGGGCCAATGGGCAGCAGAACTGGCAAAACCCCAGGGGTTAAGAAATCCTGCAGTGGCAGGGCCGTGGGGGGACTGGAAAAGCATATGGGGCTGGCCTGATTCCATTGCAGCCACCCAATGGCTGGGACCCGGGGCTGAAAGACTTACATAGTGACTGGGTTGCTCAAGGAAAAATCCTGTTAGGACAAAAAACAGCAATGAAGGTGCCAAACCTCAAAAAGATGTAAGAACCAACTGTCTAACTGGAGAAGCTACCAAACATTAATCCCAATGCATTAATCCCCGGGACTAACACGGTCTGACAAAAGAGAATCTGTGGACCAGGTGAGGTTCCCGTTCCACCTGCCACCGTGCCTGGAAAGAACTAGGGCAGCTGGTGCTATGCACCACTTATATAGCTCTGCCCCTGAAAAAGAGCAAAGCAGCACATGGCAATAACCATTTTTCTCCTATAGCTTTTCATATTAGCAATACCTGTTGGTATCTGAGCTAGTTGTAGATCTTCCCATTTCACTTCAGACCCATCGCAAGGCAAAGTTTTCAGACAACATTGATAGAGACAGTTAACTTACATCACTGCTCTGGAAGAGTTGGCTGTAAGGTGCTCCCAGAAGACAGATATATACTAAAAAAGAAGGAATTCAACAATTTTCTGTTATGAAAGCCTCAAACAACATAAGAGATTTGAAACTGTGGTGCCTAAAATAAATGGTGAGTGCAATACATCTGGATACAAGAAGATCTAAATATTTTGTATGAAATATTGTCTCTAAAGGAAGCCAACAATGATCAGGTGGGCAGAGAGAAAGGGAAAAACCAAAGATACTTACCAACCACAGAAGTCACTCTCGCCACAAAATTACTTCAAAAGCGGCCTTACATAGGGCAACTATTTAATTCTAGACAAACATACAACCATTACTCTACAAGTAAAACAAAAAGCCAGGAAAGCAGTGAGAAAACAGCACTTGGCGGGGAAGAACGGGAGGGGGCTGCTGCTGGACATGGCCAGAGATTCAGACTCCATCTGGTGGGGAGACAGAAGAAGTTTCGCATTAATGTTCCCTGCACAAAAGGCATCAGACTTGCTGGTTCCTTCCTCCTCCAGAAGTTTTGCAATGCCAAGCATTGTGCTGAAAGGTACTATTGACAGTCAAGGTCTTTCCATTAAAGACCACTGGCTCTAAACAAGCAGTCTTTTAGAAGAAAGGCAGGGAGCTGTTTGGCTTCTTGTAGCCACAGGCTGCTAAGAGGCAATAAGCCACGTTGCTGGGTCAGAAGAGAGCAATGTCAGAAAAGAGCTCCAAATACCTGCCCTACAATATTAGCCTCAGCACAGCCTGTAAGCTAAATGAAGTAGTCTTAAGTGGTGGGCCAACAGATCTGCAAGGCCCCTGGGCAAGGCAGGAGGCCTGGCTCTGCACTCCTGGAAGTGGTGAGGCCTTGGATGCAAGGGATGGGGCTGCTTGCAGCCAGCCACCCCACTGCTGCTTAGTGTGTGCTATACGGTATAGCCTATACCCATCACCCCCACCAGATTCAGCCACCCGGAGCATGCTGCATGGAGCTTTGGTGACGATTGAAAGGACACAGGGCACCAACCACTGTAGTGGCAGTCAGGAACCCTGGGCCTTTCACTTGCTGGTCCCTGGGGTGGTTGCCCCTTTGCAGCCCCTCTTCCCCAAATGGCAAGCCTTTGCAAGTATGACTAAGAGGAAGCCAAGAGACTGAACTCCTTGGGTAGAGTTCACTGTGCAACAAACGTAATGCAGGAGCAAGATTACATGATGCAGAGGAAAAAAGGGGTTGTGGGTCTTTTATAAAAAATAAATAGCTGATGAACAACCCTGCAAGGTTGAGACTAGTGGCTAGCCCTTCTGGTCAGAAGGAAGCATGTACCTATCTCTGGGTTTGCTACATCTCTCATCTCGCTGCCTTTTGGTTGCTTTCTGTTCCAGTTCAGCCACATGTGCTGAAATGTCTCCTGGACATCTTGTAGGGTCACACCTTGCTTGAGGTGTTCGATCTAGAAGTGGATTAAATGTATTCAAACGCCTGACATCCGTTATGCTAGTTCATTTGCTCAGGGCAGTGATTTTCAAGTTATGGGTTGTGAGCTAGCATTGGGTTGTGGAGTGTCTGGCACTGGGTCTTGTTACTGCAGGGGAATCAGGTGACCAATGGGAGTGCTAAGGCAGCTATCTTCCTGTCCTGGTACCACAGACTGTGCAGCAGTCCCAGCTCCTGGAGGGAAGGGGCGGGGGGAAAGAGCGAGCACACAGGACTCCGCACATTACTCCTGTCCTGAGCGCTAGTTCAGCCCTCCCATTGGCTGGGAACCTGCTGTTGGTTGCTTCTGGGCCAGGCAAATGAGAGAACAATGAAGTCAGGGAATCAATGGCCGGTCCTGGAGCTGAACCATTGCTTGTCAAGTGGTTATACCCTTGAATGTGTTAGCCCCCCAATAAAAGGATTGTGTAGTAGTGTGAAAGGCTGAAGAGCTAGGACAAGTTTAACTGGGGGGGGAGAGGAGAGAGAAGTAGTTTGATATTTTAAACCAAGCTACACGTGGATAGCTCCTGTGACCAGCCATTCATTTTTTCCTATTGGCATATTCTAACATCATCACAACTGTTTAGCCCCTTCCTGTGACTGCTGTATGCCCACCTACCCATCTGTCAGCTGATGGTCAGGGCAGTGTGTGTGTGTGTGTGTGTGTTATGCACCCGAGTTTTCAACTGCTGGGACGCAAGGTCCCGTCGCAGCGGGCGGCCTTAGGGAAAACCGATGGGCGCCCCGAGAAGTTTAACGTCCGTGTCTTTGACTGCTAGGACCAGGTCCCGTCGCGGTGGGTCCTGTGTTTGCATGGATTGGGTGCCATGAAACCTGTGACAAGATTGCATAAGAGTCACTTAACTCAAGGGTTGGTTTAAGGCCTTTGGAGTTACCCTGCATTTTGCCTGCAAATGGGAATGATTTCTGTTCCCATCTGTTCCCTACAATTCCTGACTGAGAGATGCCATAATACTGGCAAACTATTTGGTAACTAATTTTTCTGTAGTATTATTTTTATGTTTATTGTAAGGTCTAGATCACAACAGTAGTAGTATGTCTGCCATACAAAAAAGATTGCATTAAACAGTTACAGATTTATTTAAAAAAGCGTATCATATGGTTACAATGGCTATTGCTCTATTTCTTAACTGCTAGCAAATATAGATCTTAAAAATGGTTACAAAGAAAATAAAGATAGAAAATAGAAATAATGGTACCAAGTGACAGCTTAATCTTTAAAGAGCTCTAAGTCTATGTGTACACTTGCAAAGGGAAATGAAGCCGCGATTTAAATAATCGCGGCTTCATTTAAATTTAAATGGCTGCCGTGCTGAGCCGACAAACAGATGATCAGCTGTTTGTCAGCTCAGCGCACTAGTCTGGACGCTCCTGCGCTGACCTGAAAGCCTTTTATCGACCTCCCCGTTATGCCTCGTAGGATGAGGTTTACCGGGGAGGTCGATAAAGGGCTTTCATGTCGACAGGAGAGTGTCCAGACTAGCGCACTGAGCCAACAAACAGCTGATCAGCTGTTTGTCAGCTCAGCACGGCAGCCATTTAAATTTAAATGAAGCCGCGATTATTTAAATTGCGGCTTTATTTCCCTTTGCTGAACAAACAAATCTACATGGCTCTGTCGACAGAGCCATGTAGTCTAGATGTACCCTTAGTGTACACTTAAGACAAAGGACACATCCAGGTACAATTTTTACCCCCTTCTGTGCCTCTTGACTCCAGTGTATCAGGCCAGGGCTGGTCCCTCAATTCCTAGGAAAGATTAATATGAGGTGGGCATCCCCGTGGAACTTCAGGAGGCCAATCACCTAACCTGACCAGCAGATAGATGGTAGATTGATGCTCAGAGTAAGTGTGCTGCTGGATCCATCTTTATACCCATAGGGGCCCGATCCTCTTTCTTATCTAAGATGCCAAATTGTGTTGGTCCATCTTTGTGATGCCAGTTCTCACAAGGGAGTTTCAACTTAATTTACACTTGTAAGAGAGAACTAAATTGTGAGTCCTGGACATTCTTTACTGGGCAGAAGATTCCTTCCCCCCCCCCCACGGACGGCTGTGTACTCGTATCAATATAGGTGCCAGCCAAGGCAGTTCTTGCAGCCTCGAGGTCAACAATTGGCGTATCTCTGTTTACAGCCATCCAAGGTCACAGCAGCCAGCATATCCAGGCCTTCTGTCAAGACTTCAAAGACTATGCCGATTTTACTGTTCTCCATGCCCTATATGCTCCAGGCAAGCAAAAATAGATGTTACAGGGGGGTTCCTGTCTGGCCACACCATCCTCCCTTGATGTCAATAGGGCAATGGATAGCTGGGCTCTGTGGGCAGCATGTGACCAGGGGAGTGTGAATAATTCCCCTCACCATTCATTAGCAGTGTAGGGGGCAGGAGCCCCCACATTTGAATCCCTTGGTTTCATACTTGAGATCTGCTTAAAGCTGCATTCCCTGACTCCAGAGGCAGTTCTTAAGTGCAACAGTTTGAGCTGCTTGCAGCTTTGTCTTTGGGGCTGGGAATTTCATATACTGTAGTATATGAAAGAATGAATTCACACTACTGTGGCTCTTTTGGGTTGTGCTACTTTGGCTCCTGGACTTAGCCTCATTTTGCTGGCACAGCTGTCAGGAATACTGTGCTACAATGCCAGGGGTGTTGTTTTTATGTTACCGGGGGGCTTAATCTCTACTCTGGCACAGGCCCTCCCCCCAACCCTGCTTTTTCAGGGAGGGGTTCAAATGAGGGCATGAGCACCATCTACCCTTGCTCCTCCCCCAGCCTCCTGCATGCCACTGAGGAGTTGATCTGCAGCAAGGGAGGTACTACTGTTAAATTTCTATTTACACAAACCAACACACTTGCCCCTCTCCTTCCCTGAGGCCCTGCCTCTTCTCCAGAAACCTTAGCTCCTGCTCCCTTCCCTGCATTGCTTGCTCTTCCATGCTGGGCTGGGATTGGCCTGTTCCCCACTCTACTAGAATGGTGCTGCTAGGGCTTCCCCTCGGGCGGGCTGGTTTCTCACACTTTACCTTAGAGCTTGTATCTCAGTCCACAATAGCTCCCCACATGGAGCTCAGGGCTGCTGCCTCAGCCAGCCAGCCACCCATGGTCTTCTCTGCTAGAAGGCTCCAGCAACAGACTGCCCTCCAATCAGGGGCCTGGAAGGCCCTTAAAAGGAACTGCAGGATCGGCCACCTTCTCCTACAGATATGCTAGACTGTTTGGAGGACTTCTCTATGGTGTGTTGGGATAGCTTGTGGCAAGGCCACAAGCTCCAGCAGAAGGTTTGGGGGCCTGATTCACTGTATCAGAGACTAAGTAATGAGGGGACTCAGGATTAGTGATGTGCAGACTCAGGGAAGAGTTTGGTGAAGGAGGAGACTCCAGCGTAGAGTAGGGGATACTTGCTA